GTGTGACATTGCGTTGGAATTGAGCTGTGTCATTTACCATAGTGTTCATTTAGTGAATATAGTATATTCAGAACAGTTCGGCCTCTCTCCACCTTCGTCCCGATGGTCCCTTTATAGGTGTGGCTGGGCTGTGGCCGCACCCTGTACCCTTTCTGCCCCTGCTCCAATGAGCTTCGGCCATTTCCACCAAGGGGAGCCGAAGCCCTTCGGTCTCCCCTTCCCCTCCCCTCCTGCCGGGCCTTTGCTGTCTGTGTCAGGCGCCGCCTGTGCCATCCCTCGACCGTCTCCCCTCACCCTTAAGATGGCCTCCACCCGCCCAGCCAAGCGGAACTCCAGAGGAAGCTGAGGTGGAGCATCTCCTCAGCCCGGCTGGCCACATGCGTTCTCCAACTCCCCCTCACAGCGAGCCAGCTACAGCTCTGCCAAGGCAGCTCCGATGGGATGGTGGCAGCGGTGGCAGCCTGAGGCACAGTGGGGCTGGGGCAGCCGCTGGGTGCCCTTTGAGGCGGTAGCTGCAGCAGCAGCAGCATCTCTGGATGGGGCCAAAGATGGTGGGGGCTGTCTCACATCAACGTCGCTAGGGGCGGCTCCTTCCCCCTCCTCCTCCTCCTGATCCTCAGAGGACACCGGCACCTCCTCTCACCGCCACCACTGAGGGAAAATGGGTCGGGGCGGCAGCTGCCTCCTCATCTTCGCCTCCAAAGCCCGGACGGGACAGCACCTGAGGGAGGCATCGTCATCGACGGTGGTGTCCTCGGGCCTTCTTCCTGCCAGCCCCAATACAGCAGCAGCCACAGCAGCAGCAGCAGCAGCAGCCTGACTCAGCGGCAGAGGCGCGGGAGAGGAAGAAGATGGTGCAGCCCGCGATGCTGCCTCAGCAGGCTGGCAGCAACAGCAGCAGCACCGGCTTCGATGACTTCCTGCCCCGCCTGCTGGCCCAGCTGACACCACCTCCCCCGGCCTCCGCCGCCACCTCTATCTTGGTCTCCTCCTGCCATCGCTGGGTGTCTCCACCACAGAGACTGGCACTGCTCTCGCAGGGAGGAGGAGGCATCGGGAGACTGGTGGGCACTGAGTTGAAGAGGAAGAGCAGCTTCCAGATCATCAGCGTGACCCCAGCGTAGATCTCAGCCAGCCTTAGCTCCAACAACAGCATCGCCAAAGACACGGAGAGCTACGATGGCCTGGATGAGTCACACACCAAGAACTTCTCCTCCAAGATCCTGGACGTCTCGCTCTCCCGGACCACCAACTTGAGGGAGCCTGAGCACAGCTCCTCCAAGGAGATGTTCAACAACTTCCACGAGGCTAACAGCCTCAACACAGTCTCCCCCAAGCAGCCTCACCCAGCCCAGCAGCCCCGAGGCCTGACCAATGTGAGTGCCTACCCGCTACCCACTACACCCATGGAGAGACACCCCCAGATTCCCTCCCATGCTGAGGTTCCCCTGCCCATGTCAGAGGGGCCCCATCCAGCTCGTTGTTCCAGAGGCTGCCTGTCACAGGGAGCTTGGAGAGTGCCAGGTCGGGGCCTGCGGGAGCGTCCTCCATGGCGGTTCTTGAAGGTGCCACCGGGGGGGGTCACTTCCATGTGGGGCCTGCCTCTGCCGGGGGAGCCGTGGCCGGTACAGCGAGTGGCAGGGCTCGTCAGGTGGGCAAGACCCTCACGAACCTTGCCGCTGCTGGCAACGGCATAACCCTACCCAGAGGGAACCACCCTGGGAATGTTTCTTTCTTCGCATGCTGTTGGTATATGTGCCCGGTCCAACATCCTTCCAGCAATTGAAAATTGTTTCTCACATGGACAATTATATGTTGCATGTTCTAGAGTCGGCAAACCAGACAATCTCTAGATCTGCACAGACAATGGAACAACAAAAAAATATTGTATACCCACAAGCATTGTGAAATTAAACATATTAGGAACTTGCATTTTCTCTTTTCTTTCTTTTCCATTTAACTAGACTGGGCCACATCAATGGGTAGCCCAGTACAGCTAGTAATAAATAAACAATAAATAAATAAAATGGATTTATTTAACGGCTGTGGCATTTGCTTAACCGAGTCATGGTGGTGCAGTGTTTAGAATGTATTACAGGGTGACTCTTCTCATTCCCAGGAGTTTGATCCTGACCAGTTCATGGTTGTTTCAAGGAGGGGAGGA